TTTATTCGATTATTTATTTAGCCAGCGGCTGGTGGGATGCAAGGGTCTACATATGGGAAACTAAATAACCCTGAATAACCTTGTAACCTGATAAAGGCTGAACACATGTATATCTGTGCACACCGGGGAGCCTCAAGCTGTGATTCAGTCGCGGGGAGCGTGTCTTGAACATCCATGTGAGGTCCAGTCAGGCCTTTGTTATTTCACACTGCCCAACCTTCGAAAGCCCAATCTCGCACTCGGTCACTTTAATATGTTTGCAGCCAGGCGTCAAGTCGGCATCGGCAGCAAGTCGCTTGCATCCAACCCAGCTTTTTCATCAGCATCGGAAGCTACACTGAATGAGTGGCTCTTGGAGGTAGCCCTTGTTGACTCAGTGTCAGTTGACTCCGAAGCTACACCGAGTGATAGGCTTCTGGAGGGGCATCTTTGCACTTCGGTTGGAGATGGGGTGGCGGGAGTGGTAGGGCTTCGGAGGCTCTGGGATTCCAAGGAAGGCAGGTCCGTCTCCACGGGAACCTCAACTCGCTTGACTTCTCTGTCAAGCTCAGGCTTCTCGAAGTCCAACTTCTTCTGCTGCTTCTTACCGATGTTGTTGTACCGGATCGTGAAGCTAGGTGCACGGTGTACCATGTCACTAGACCTGGCCTTGTGATTGGCAGTTCTGAATGCCTCAGCGCTTTGTGCAAAAGAAAGCCTGGCCACAGCAGCTAAGACTGAGCAACCGAAGGAGTATGGCTTATTGCTGCGAAGCTGCACTCACTACCGAATGCACCTTTGGATCACGTTGAGTCTCCGATCGCTCTGCCAAGCGGCGAAGATGAAGCAGCAACTTCTTGAGCACCGAAGCCGTCGAAGCAACCACTTTGTTTGTCACAGTCACCTAAGCTACCCACCCACACCATAAGTTAATCCAAGACGAACTGTATGGAAAGGTAAACTTTTCTGCAGGGTGCAAGTTTTATATGTTGGACGAGTCGCTGCCTTCTTGTCTTTAAATTCATAAAGCACTATCTTCAGAACCGGTTTCGTGGCCATCTCCTTGCAGCGACCAAAGGCCTTGGCAAGCGGCCGAAGGATCTCCTGAGCTGATGACACATGTGCTTTAACTAAGTGGGTGCTGCATGCATTTCTCATAAGACTTTTGTAACTTTCAGCTGAAGTGCTCTGTTCATGCCGATGTGCTCTGCATTGATAGCTGGGTCAGTCGTGCACTTCAATAGAAGAAATCTATGGGTGTCCTTGACCCGCTGGCAAAAGGCAGTCTGCTTTGCAAGTGCCTGCATAGGTGGATGGAGTAAGCATCATGATATCTGAACTCATCCGATGCCCGAAAACCCGCCTGCAGAACCTCCTCGATGCACCCCTTTAGGAAAGCATGGGTCTCACCCGCAAGCAAGTCCATGGCGTGGAAAATCAAAGATCGGCCAGCTCAGCTATCTACGACAACGATCTGTCGTGAGCGATAAGGGGGAAGCTGTGCCCTGTAGACTGTAGACATCCCAAAGACCAGTTAAGCTATAGTAGCATACGTTAATAGCAGGGTTTCTGCTACATCGGCTACCCGTCTCCCTGCACCATGTACATGCACATGTGTGCGGAGGTGCACATCTCGTGAGCCGCCGTCTGCATCCAAACAACTGCAACCAGTAAACACAACAACTCTTGCGAACTCTACGGCGTGGCAGCTGTCTTCACATTAACCATGCTCCTGGCTGCATAAGCTGGGTGTCAGGCACACCGAAGGCCATTGATCACAATCGCGACCATCATCAGAGGGGCGATCGAGTGGCCCGTAAAAGGCACGAATCAGATTTCTAAATTCAACCATCCTTATTTAGTAGACTGATGCAACAACACTTTGTGATTGTCTCTGAAGTGCCAGCATCCATATGACGAAAAGCAACAAAAGCAACATCCCGTAATCCTTCAAGCAGAAAGGCCTCATCCAGCTCGATGCCCCATACGTCCCCCCACACAGCCCCGCACAGACAGAGTAATTGGTAAGATGTTCTGGAAGCTCTTGAGTATACTGGCTTAACAAGAGATAGGTGGTTAAACCAGGAATATCGAGTCAACCACGGAAAGGAACACCAAAGGAGACTACAGGTAAGAGTAACAGATGAATCGAGAAAG